CCGAAACGTCAGGACAATAAACCTCTTGTTCCAGTGATCGCTTCTTTTTCTTATTCTTCAGAGCGTTATTAGTCCAGGGTCAATACAAATGGAAAATACTGTTGCTTTTACAATCTATGTTTGAACGTCGTGCGGAGGGGGGCAGGAAAGTTTGAATGCCTAGAACTGTTCTTCGGTTTATTTCAGTAGAATTTGTACATCGAGTATTAGTTGAATATTCCAATTACTTCTATTAATGCCCGTCGTCCGCCGATGAAAATGTACAAAAGAGGATTTGATTGAAAAGTGTCGTTGAGCAATAGCTGGTTATTCTCGTTCATACTCAGATAAGACGGGCAAATTCTGGCCTGCGACTTCCATTAATTACGCCAATGACAGAATTTTCAGCCTGGCCTTCAAAGATGGCGATCGTGCTTTTCAAATTTGCTGATTGTTCTTGATCTATTTTACAAGAGAACTTCGAAGTAGATATGGTATATCTTTATGTCCCCAAAGCCTTTCTAGCGTACCCTATCAGCGTATTTTACATCAACTGTGTCTTTTTTATTAGGAGGAAATTTCTGAACTTGACCAGGCATTATTGGTCGGTCGAAGACAACGCGTTTCTATGGGTAAGGATACATTTGACGTCATAAACTAGGTAAGTGGTGTTCGTCAAGGCTGCATAATCTGGTCTTCACTCTTCATTTTTTATGTTAATGACAGCATTCAGGAACTGCACTTAGGTAAGATTATAATTTACGACAATGTTAAGCTCTCACAAGTCATTAAGCGGCCAAGCGGGAGGGATATTCTGCAAATTAATCTGTGCAGACTGCAAATGTGGTTCGAGAGATGGCTCCTAGAATTCAATGTTCAAAGAGCCCACGTCTTCAATCTGTGTCCAACGAACTACTCTACAACTTACAGCGTAGCGACATATTACCTGAATAAATCTCCATAGACTCTTCACAGAACAACTTCTGCAGTTCGATACAGAGCAATCTGATGCCCTCGTAAAGACCGCAAATAATGCCATGGAAGTACAGCGTGCTATCAAATGAGTGTTTATAGTTATTGACAATAATGTCTTTGAATAACTCTACGGTAACTTTGTTTGTTTGTATATTTGTTGGTATACAGTCGTGGCGGCCATCGTTCTCGATAAAGTGCAGCGTCATGCGACAAAACCAGTAGGAGAGCTAAAAACCACTCTTAGATAATGCCTGCATTTATTTCCCTGTACAAAAGGCAGCAAAGAGGTAATGTTATCCTAACTAACAAGATAATACATGCCCTTGAGCCAGGCCTGCACTTTGAGGACTTGTTCCAGTTGCACACAGTATCAGTTACACGATGAAGCTGCGCATGAAAAATTCTAAATTTAATCCTTCCTCCGAATTCTTCAATTGAACAATCAGTCGTGGAGGCGACGTACCTACAGCTCTCCAAGACATGCTTGAGGGGGTATGTGTTTCTGTATTGGCCCATAGCAGCCACTTGGAATGTAAGATCAGCCGCTGACGCACAGCGCCTTTGGCCTGCAAGGGCTGCGCACACATTGCCGTCTGGAGTCAGGTGCTAACTGTCGCTGACCGACGCGCGAATACGCCTCACCGTGGCCGAGCGCCCACGCTAGCCAGCCTTCGCTTATCTCAAGTTCGCGCCACGACCACCAGTCTAGAAATAAGCCGCATGAATGTCTGCCATAGCAAAGCATGCTCCAAAATTTCAACGATTCCCCATGCTCTCGCCACTCCAAAATTGACGCCCTCGTAGCCGAACTGCAGTCATCCGAGAGTCAAAACTCTTTCCATCTGTTCTCCTATCCTTCTCTGTAGCATACACTATTTCTCACAAGTTGGCCTTACCACTGTCTCCTCCTTTCACCTAAAGGAACCATGGAAGATCGTAACAGTTAGGTTTAAATCTTATTAGCCTTTACTTCCGCGAAATGTCTCCTGTTAGACTTCGACAGTCCAAACCACACATACACAATCCAGAAAATAGTTATTTATAAAAACAATGCTACTTACAGTTGTTGAATACTATTTTAAAAAGCGAAAAATGTAAGCTTGTGTTTACAAATTTATGTAACGTACCAGTATCTAAACAATAGGATTTCCAAAGATAATGCCTGATCCTCGTATAAAAAAACTGAAACTGCCTGAGCAAAAGAGTTTTTTTTCATTTATCTATTGATGCTTGAATTTGTAAAAAAAA